ATGTTATATACATGCAAGCATCTAGTACACACAGTAGGTGATCAATAAAAGTACTGATTGTCATTTAGTTTACTTACCTTGAAGCTTCTAGTTCAAGTTAACCTATTTTGAGTATTAGCTAGATCTCTAAACTCTGGTGTGCAAATGGTTACTTACAGTGTGAATGCCTCTTCCTCAGAGATCTCCACTCTGCCTCTGTGGGAAGTGGCCATCACTTCCTCTTGTTGCCTGCCTGAGTGGTACCCTGGTGTGCCTCGCCCTAAGCCTGAGGACTGACCCTAGGAGCACATTCTCTATGTCCTAAGAAGCCCCAATAGTCTCTGGGGACACCTGATCTAAGGGTCACTGTGGCAGGAGCAAAGTCAGCCACATGGTGTTCCCACCTGCAGATCCCTGGTTTTGAAGATGGCCATGAGCCTGGCTTCAGAGTCCAACAGACTGGGGCTCCACCACTTGCTTCCTTGTTGTGTGACTATGATAAAGTTAGCTTCTCTAAACCTCAGTTTTTTCATCTGTAAAGTGAGGACAACATAAGATCATGTTTGCGAAGGGGTACATGAGATGATGATGGACCACATCAAATCACGTGACCAGGGTTCTCCTCCCACAACATGGGGAAAAGGTGAGTGAGATATAAGTTATCAGATGCCCTAAAAACATGAAAGCTGGCCTAGACTTAAAAATAAGCAACATGATAAGGAGAAAAAGAATCCTCAATAAGCCCCACAGTGAGTTTACGTTACAGTGATATTTGTCACTGTTACTATGATGGAAATCCATTGTTGACTCTATCAGGAAGATATTAAATGGAGCAAAGGATGGGGTAGATTTATCATGCCTTCTAGAAATCACCTAAATTTACAATTAACCAGATTTTCAACCTTAAAAAAAAAAGAGCTTCTGGTAGTTTTAGATAAACATTAGTAATCAAACAAATTTTCTAATGCAATGAATAAAAGCAGAGATGAAGCTCACTCCAAATATTGAAAACATATCTGATAATCAGCTACCTAATAAAATGGTGTTGACTATCTGTATCAGGGGCTTCTCAACCTTGACTGCACAAAATAAATCATTTGGGTAGCTTTTAAAAATTACCCGTCTGCCCTAACCGGTTTGGCTCAGTGGATAGAGCGTCAGCCTGTGGACTCAAGGGTCCCAGGTTCGATTCCGGTCAAGGGCATGTACCTTGGTTGCGGGCACATCCCCAGTAGGGGGTGTGCAGGAGGCAGCTGATCGATGTTTCTCTCTCATCGATGTTTCTAACTCTCTATCCCTCTCCCTTCCTCTCTGTAAAAAAAATCAATAAAAAATATATTTTTTAAAAAATTACCCGTGCCTATACCCCAACCCAGACGTATCATAATCGTGTGTGTGTGGGTGGGTGGGGGGCGGGGGGTGTTTAGAATTTTTTTAAAAAAGCTTCCCAGGTGATTCCTACAGCAGGGTTGAGACCACTGATTTGGACAGATCTCTATATTAATGAAAAGCCTGAAAAATCTGGCCACAGGTTAAGATCACCAGGGAACTCTTAAAAATCCTGGGGTAAGACTCAGGCACTGATACTTTCGAAAGCTCCTAGGTGATTCAATGTGCAGCCAAGGTCCTTAAAAAAATGTGTTTGGTAAAATTTAGCAAACACCTGCATTTTTTCAGCAGAAGCACTAGTAATATGATGTAGTACTGTGGTCAGTTCCTATTTATCCAAGAATGGCTTCTCTGTTTTGAGGATAAATTACAGGCCAGTGTTAGGGATGCAGGGAAGGTAGCAAACATTAAGCATCTACCAGAAAGCAATGTTTCTTCCTATACTATCTCATTTACTTCACACTGTACCCCAGTGAGGTAGGTGGTGTCACCCCCATATTATTAGGTGAGCAACTGAGGCTCAGAGAGGCTGACTCACTTACATCAAGTCACTTAGCTAGTAAACTGGGCTCCAAAAGCGGGGCCCTAGGCCACACTCCACAGCATCTATCTGTTTCTGCTTACGTCTCAAGCTAAATGATCTGTTGGATTGTCTATTGTTTTGTTTCCATTTCCTTGTTATCCTAGATGAATGAGAGCTGACTATAGGGCTTATTCTGAATGATGATCTAGGTGGAAATTCATTCCTTCTGTTAAAAAAAGAGAGCGCACATGTCCTAACAATTATTTCATATTTGCTCTCCTTTTAACTTGGCAGCAGGTTCTGAAGTAGCACTGGAACTGCTTAACGCTTTAGCTGGTTCTTTCCCCCCTAGAAGGTAAATAATAAGCACCAGGGTATGTAGCTAAATGTTTACTCCAACTTTTTCTCCCAAGTGACTTTGAAAATAAGTAAAAAATGAAAAGCTTCCTGCTTCTCTAGCAAACTCTCAGTGACGTTTCCCAGACATAAGCCTAACCCATCGTCCTAACATGCAGGGCTTGCCAGGGCTTTTACACAGCAAATTACTTACCCTGAATACTAACAGCAACTCCAAAAGGGAAAAAAAAGTCATGTAACTAGTTCTAGATTCATAGGCCCTCTCACCCCGCCCCCCCATTTTAAAGTCTGGATTTATAGAACCCAGGACTTGTATAATTAGAAAAGATAGCTATTATGTACCCACAGTTTTCAACCTACTCAATGCTGACAATAATGAAAGGTCCCCCTTACTGAATATTCTTATGTGGTTCTGGGTCAGAAAAGTTATTTCCATCTTTAAAATCCTAATTAGGATTTATTGTCCCCATTTTGCAAATGAGAAATGTGTCTCAGAGAAGTTAGGTCACGTGCCTAAAGTCACTGAGTGCCTAAAGCTACGCAGTGGTGGCACTGGAGCCTGATGGTACATACAACCTGCTGAAACAAGACTGGGCGTTTCCAGAAAGCCCATCCCAAAGGGCAGTGGTTTGTGATTTTTCTCATTCAGGACCTCTCTGAGATCGTGGGCCTGTTGGTCTCTCTCCCTCTAGGGCAGCGGTTCTCAACCTGTGGGTCACGACCCCTTTGGCAGTCGAACGACCCTTTCACAGGTGTCACCTAAGACCATCCTGCATATCAGATATTTACATTATGATTCATAATAGTAGCAACATTACAGTTATGAAGTAGCAACGAAAATAATTTTATGGTTGGGTCACAACATGAGGAACTGTATTTAAAGGGCCAGAAAGTTGAGAACCACTGCTCTAGGGTGAAGCACTTCTTGGATTTTGGCTGTGAAGGCCTGGCTGAAGCCCCACTCAACACTCCATCCTTACTTTCACCCCCCGGGCCCTGCAGACATGTCCCATGGCCCCGGGTCATCTCAGGAAAGCATGCCCACTGTTACCTCAGCACCTTCACCGTCTCCGTCCACTGCGCCTGCTCACTCTCCCAGGGGTCCACCCGGATCCAGTCAGACGTCTGCAGGGCCAGCCGGACCATGGCCACTCGGTGGTGGGCAGCTGCAAGGTCTTTTTTCCTGTAGTTGTCACTGACAGGAGAGATGATACCCCCGATCACCTGGTACATTCCTAGGCAAAGTAGAACAGTGGTGTTGCTCGCCACCTGCCTGAATTCAGGCAGGTGCTCAAAATCTCTGTGCCTCATCCTGGCATTCTCTCCTGAGTGGCCAGCTCTCTTAGGCATATCCTTATTTTAAGGATATGTTACTGCCTACGTATTTATTACTCTTACATACCTTTCTGTGAATTAAGCATCTTTAACTCTAACAATGCTTCTTGACTTAAAGTCGTTATGTCTGATATGTGCCTCATCCTGGCATTCTCTCCTGAGTGGCCAGCTCCCTTTAGGTATATCCTTATTTTAAGGATATGTTACTGCCTATGTATTTATTACTCTTACATACCTTTATGTGAATTGAGCATCTTTAACTCTAACAATACTTCTTGACTTAAAGTTGTTATGTCTGATACTAATGTAGCCTCAACAGCTTTATATATGCACTAGAGGCCCGTCGCACAAAGAGATTCGTGCAATAGGCCTTCCCTTCCCCTGGCTGCCGGCACTGGTATTCCTCCGGCACCCGGGACCCAGGCCTTCGCTCCTCCAGCCGGAGCCTTCAGTCTTTGTTCTGCCACTTCGCACCTACGTATGTAAATTAACCGCCATCTTTGTTGAGTTAATTTGCATACTCCCCTGATTGGCTGGTGAGCGTAGCAGAGGGACGGTCAATTTACATGTTTGTCTATTATTAGGTAAGGTGGTATTTTTTTATAACCTTTCTCTTTCAACCTACCTATGCTTATGTTTCAAACACGTCTTTTGTAAATAGCTGAATTTAAAAATATTTTGGTCAAGTTTGACAATTACTGATTTGTAACTGGAACATTAAATTTACCAACATTTAATGTAAATGTTAACATATTTAAGTTTCAAGCTACCATCTTTTATGTTGAGTTTTTTTTTTGTCACAAGCTTTATGTTTTTTTTCCTTTTCTGCCTGTCTTTGGACTTCATTTCATTTTTTTCCTCTCAGACTAAAACTTACATATGCAGTCTTATATCCAAAGTAAATTAAGACCTTTACCCTCTTCCTCAACAACACAAGGACTTCAGAACTCTGTAACTCCATTTAATATCTCCTTACATGTTATTGCTGTAGATATTTTAAGTCTATTTATCCCCCTAACCTTAATAGACCATATTATTGTTTGATACACCGATCACATTTAAATTAAAAAACCCTTTTATTTATTTTAGAGAGAAAGGGAGAGGGAGAGGAAGAAACATCAATGATGAGAGAGAATCATTGATTGGCTGCCTTCTGCACGCCCCACACTGGGGATCGAACCCACAACCCAGGCATGTGCCCTGGCCGGGAATCAAACTGTGACCTCCTGGTTCATAGGTCAACACTCAACCCTGAGCCATGCCAGCCAGGCTGTTTTTATTGATTTTAGAGAGAGAGGAAAGGAGAAAAAGAAGGAGAAATATCAATGTGAGAAACATTGATCAGTTGCCTCCTATATGCTCCCCACCTGGGGATGGAACCTGAAACCTGGGCATGTACCCTGACCAGAAATCAAACCCACGACCCTCTGTTGCCACAGGCCCTTTGTTGCCACAGACGATGTTCCAACTGAGCCACCCGGCTAGGGCGAAAGCATAACTTTTAAAATCTGTATATGACCGATGCCAATTTCAAAGTCTGTACAGGTTGTTTTTGTGGCCTGTTGTTTCTTATTTATATTGTTTCATTTTTATTTATATTGTTTCATTTGTGCCTATTTTTGACTGCTTGCTGGTCAATGTCTCTAACTAGTTACTTGTAGAGGCTCCCCCAGGCCTAAGATACATATATTTTCTTCCAAAAGGCTTCATGTTTGCTTTTAACAGGCACCTGGAGTATAAGTCACAGATGACCTTAAATCAAGCTCTTGGTTTGAGCTTCTTTGGCCAAACCAGGCAAAAAGTTGCAGATCTGAGCAAAGGCTGATGTGTGACCATTTTTTTCTGGCAATGTTTTATTCTTTTGTTTTCTTCTCCTACTTGCCTTAGTACCGAGGCAACAAGGCTTCTGTGAAGTCCTCTAGGGTTGGGGAAAGGAGGTGGGTTAAGATGCAGTTCACCCTGGCTCCTTAGGGGTCCAGCTTAATGTGTGGGAAGTCACCCATAAGGCTCCCCAGCTTGGCAGGCTCCAGCCTTTGAACAGTTTCCCTCTTGGCCTCTATGGCCATTGATTCAATGCTAAGTGAGCAGTAGGCACCCGTGGCAAGTGTCTGTAAGACATCAGTGGTTTTGGAGTTCTAGTAACCTACTGATCTCCATGGTTACAGGTGTTTCTCTCTCAGCTGGTCGGAGACATCCGCACTTTTCAGCTTTAAAAGTGAGGTTTGCAAATGTTCTATCCACCATTTATTGTTGTTTTAGTGGGAGATGATCCAAAGTGCAGCCTGCCCCTGGAAGCTGGAGGTTCTTTGAGGCCTTTTCCCAGCCCTGGTAACCTGGTTGCCTAGGGCCCTCCTTCAAGAGGCTGCAGCATTCACTGCTCCAGGGGGATGGCAGAACCAGGGGAGAATAGAAAGGGGACATCCAGCTTCTGAATTCCAGCACTGGCTGCTAAAACTCATGTTCAGAGGAACACTTGTAAAGGCTAAAGTTTTCATTTGTAAGAGTCAGACTTTGTTGAGAGAGAAATATTTAAGTTCCAAAAGTTACCCTTATAAAAACAAAATGAACATAAAACAAGAACCAGAGCCCAGGGAGTCAGAGCACAGTTTTACTAAAACCCAGAGTAGTAAGAAGGAGAGACTATGAAAATGGAAAAGAAAGGCCCTTTCTGGGCTGAGGGTGGAGGAGTGAGCTGCAGACATAGAGAAGAGCCTAGTAAAAAAGCTTGAGGTGACAGAGTTTAGACACAAGTGGAGGCCTGCTCCTTACACCCTCTTATCCTTCAGAGACAAAACCTGGTGCGTGGTGGGTGGGGGAGGGCCTGGTTAAGAGACCCAATTAGGTTGGGAACTGCAGATCTGGTGGCTTGTATTTTGCTTCCCACTTGGAATTGGAGGAGACCATCTTGCACTGCCCTGTGCCAATACAGCGCCAACACAGCAGCAATGGTGGTGTGGCACGCATGGGCAGAGAGGGCTTCAGAAAAAGTCCCCCCCCACCCCCGCCCTCCAAGACCCTCTCAGCTGCAGCAGGGCATGGCAGAGATCCATAAAAACTCCCCAGGCTCCTTGAGAGGAGTAGTGAAGGAGGTTGAGGAGAGTCAGCAGGGTTACTTGTGGGGAGATAGGGTACAGGGCACCGAGTGTGCAGCCAAAGGCAGGAAACCATGGTGTTGGGAGTACCAGGGAGGTCCAGGCAGCAGCGGTAGTTAGTGCTGAGCCACGGGATGCTGAGGAGGCTTCCATTGTGGAGGCACAGAGGACAGAGGCCAGTGCCGAGGTCGAGGGCAGCCCCCTTGGCTAGAGGGCATTCGGGGCCAGATGCCCCCTTTCGGATACCAGGATGATATGCTCCTACGAAGCTTAACTCAATCTTGGGGAAGGCGGCAGTAAAAGATTAACTTGATTAAACACTGACCTGTAAGAGTAAGCCTAATATCTGAAAATAGTTATCTTGAAGTAGCATTTTTTTTTTTTTTTACTATTCATGGAAATGGTGGCTTAAGAGCAAGTTGAGTGTTGTAGAAAGCAAAGAAAGTTATATTTCTACACATCTGAGTCCCATGTTATACATGGAACAGGTTAGTTCTTTCTCTTTCCCTTTTAGAAGAGAACTAGACTCTGCTAGGTGCTAACTCTCTTGGGCAATTTACATACATTTAACCTTCACATTTGTCTTTGTTTTACTGAAGAAAACAGGGTGTGAGGCACCAGGGTCCCTTCCAGGTGGTTCTGCTAGGCACTTGGATACTCAGGTGCCACCTGTGATGGTTTAGCTCGTCTTGACAGGGCAGGTCGTACGCTGAGAAATCATTGCTGTGTTACAGCACTCAGGGGAGGAGAGTCAATAAAAATAACAGTTTGGGCTAAAACTCCTTCTTGCCCTTTGAATGGTCATGAGTTCAAGCCTTTTTCCTCTTCCACAATCCCAGTTTTTCCTCTTTTGTGACCTCCCCTCTTCCAATTGTTAGATGCAGGTCCTTCTCTGGTGACTCCACTGCTACCCAGACACACCTCCATTACGGCGCTTGTATGATAATGATCTGTTTGCCTTAGTCTTTCCCATAAGACTGATGGCTCCCTAAGGGCTCGTAATTGTCTTCATTCTGGTAACATGCCCAGAACATTGCTTAGTATGAAGCTATACTGTCCTTACCTTGAGGTTACCATAGTAATACATGGCTGTGAGTTTAAAAAGGTGGATAGAGCTCTTTGTTTATCTCCACCCCCTGTGGAAAATCTAATACAATGGCAATAAAGGAATAAAAGAAGTATGAAATCACAAGGGCAAAGTGAGTGAGAAAGGAGACAACAATGGATGGAAAGGTAAACAAAATTTTGGAAGCTAGAGAGCTGATGAATAATGGTGACAGCAAGCAGAGTCTGCAGGCAGGGAAGGTGGTAAGAGGGAAGGTGCCCTGCTAGGCAGAGCCCAGAGAAGCTCAGGAACTGCAGGAGCCAGCAACCTCTCTGGGTGGGGCGCCCGAGGGCTGGAACTAGTCGAGAGTTTGCCTAAGGAGCCCTTAGATCCAATCACCTACCTTTTTCTCCCATCCTGGCTGAAGGCCATAGGTCTGCTTTCTGCTGAGGTTGGACCAGAAAGATTCTTTTTTTTTTTTTTATTGATTTCAGAGAGGAAGGGAGAGGGAGAGAGAGAAACATCAATGATGAGAGAGAATCATTGATTGGTTGCCCCTGCATGCCCCAAACTGGGGATGGAGCCTGCAATCCAGGCATGTGTCTGACTAGGAATCGAACCACAACCTTCTGGTTCATAGGTCGACACTCAACCACTGAGCCACATTGGCCGGGCCATAAAGACTCTTGACTCCCAGATACAGGCACAGTTGACAGGAGGACTAGGTTTGGCTCCCACTATAACAGACTGGAGATGTCTCTCTAGGAAATAGGCCTACCCAAGAGAAGACAGCTACAGATACTCACATTTGGGGGTCTTAGACCTAGGACCTGGTCCTATGGCCATGAGCCCCACCAGCTTCACCCAAACACTCAGAGCCTCCAGCCAACATTTGCAGCCTGACCTGAAAATATGAGTGGAGAGCCTAAGAAGAGACACATTTTAGAAAGGTGCTGATCACGAGTGGCAAAGACCAAAACCACCACCAGGAGAAAAGGAACTCGGACACAAAAGCAATGCAGAGAGCAACAAGACATTTCAAAAATCTCCAAATAATCTCAGAGAGATAAGAGATGACATCCCCATCCATGAAACAAGAATGGGATGCTTTATAAAGAAATAATCAGAAATATTATACTCACTGAAATATAGAAGGTAGGAAATCAAATAGATGTTTTTCTTCACATATTTAAGTGACTGTCCCATTTCCTTTTATTAAATAATCTGCCCCCCCCCACTGACTTTGTTTTTCCCTTAGCATATATTCTTTTTTGAGAGATTTTATGTTTCATTATGCTGTCTAGAGTCAGAATCACATTCATTTAATCACTTAAAAAAATTACAAATTACATTTTAATGTCTGAGAGAGCTTTATGAGTACCTGGTTAGTTTTCCAGGAGAATCTTGGGATACTTGCTCAAGTTAAATAAAGAAAAATAGCCAGGGGTATTTTCACTGGAAAGCCAATCGATAAACAACAGTGCCAGTGAGGAGCTGGTTATATTTCCACTTAGTCGGGTCTCTAAGCAGAGGAACAGAGCTGCTGCCCTCAGCGCCCTTCATGTTTCTGGCTGAGGTTAGCCCTGGGGACTTGTGTCCTTGGCTGTTTCTCTTGTGAATGGATCTTTTTTTCTCAGGTCTTATTATATATACACTAGAGGCCTGGTGCACAGATTTGTGCACCGGTGGGGTCCCTTGGCCTGGCCTGCGGGGATCAGGCCGAAACCAGCTCTCTGACATCCCCTGAGGGGTCCTGGATTGCGAGAGGGCACAGGCCAGACCGAGGGACTCCACCAGTGCATGATTGGGGCTGGAGAGGGACCACGGGAGGGCTCCAGGGCATGTCCGGCCTGTCTCACTCAGTTCCAATCGGCTGGGCCCCAGCAGCAAGCTAACCTACCGGAGTATCTGCCCCCTTGTGGTCAGTGCACGTCATAGTGACTGGTCGAACGGTCAAACAAGTGGTGGGACACTTAGCAGGCTTTTATTATATAGGATATTTTTTCATCACATTATATTAAAACTGTTACTTAGAAAACTCTACCTTTTTAAAATTATAGTTGACATATCTATAATAATAAAAGCATGATATGCTAATTAGACTGGATGTCCTTCCAGATGTCCTTCCGGGCGAAGCTGGGGCTGCAAGGGAAACCCGGGTCCTGGGTACCTGCCAGCGGCTGGAGGGAAGCCCGGGTCCTGGGTGCCAGAGGGAAGCTGGTACCAGCAGCCAGGGGAAGGAAGGCCTACTCTTGCCAGAATTTTGTGCATCGGGCCTCTAGTAATATATTAGATCAGGTATACAACATAGTGATTCAACAGTTATATTCCTTACAATGTGATCACTCTGTACTTCGGTTTGTTTAGTTTGAATCTGGGCCACCTTACTGAACTGATTAGTTCTAATAGGTTTTCAAACTCTTCTCTTGGATCTTTTTTTTTTTTTTTTTTTAGGAACATGGTAACATCACCTGAAAATAATAAAAACAGAGTATCCTTTCTATAACCATAGTTCTTACTTTTGACTGATGCCGTGGAAAATAATAGTGGTGAGTAGGCATCCTTTTCATTTCCTTGCTTCTGTGGGAATGCTTCTGAAGTGTTAGGCCACTATTTATCATGCCAGATAAGCATCCTTATAGTTCTAATTTAAAAAGAGCTTAAAAAATACCACCCAAGCAGGTGTTGGGATTTTATTGAATGACTTTTAAGTGTGTATTGAGATGATGATTTAGGTTTCATAAAAATATACTGTCTTAGTAATGCAATATATTAATAGATATCTTTATGGTATACTGTCCTTGAATACCTAGGATAAATGCTACCTGGTCATGTTGAATTATTCTTTCATTAGCAATTTCATAACCTACTATTTTATATGGGTGTTTTGCATCCAAGATTATACTGTTAAACACTAGCTATAATGTCACAATATCCTTATCCAATTTTCTTTGTTCTAGAAAATGGCTATGGTAGATTGAACTATTGGTCCTAATCCTCTGTCTGCCATGATGAGATTACACACCCACACCTCTGCCATGACCTCACGAGGCAGAGTCCCCACCCCTTGACTTTGTACTTGGCCATGAGACTTCCCTTGGCCATTGGGATATTAGCAGATGTGACACGAACAGAAACTTACTGACTTGCTTTCTTGTTGGCCATCCTGCGCTTGTGCCATCTGAGAGAATATATGAGGTAGCCACTATCCCGTCTATTCTCCTGGATCACAGCATTATTTAAATACTATACTTTAAACTAATGAGAATTAGATAACATATGGACAGCTGTGGCACTTAGCTGGTGCTCAGCAATTGTTCCTTCCTCCACTCCCCGGCCTGGTGAGTCAGCAGAGGAGAGAGCTGTGGTAGACTGCATTTCCAAAGATGGTCAGAACATTTATCTCCCAGCCTGTATGCTCCTCTAGAACCTGGCCACTCCTCCACCAAGAGGTGAAGTGTGTGCCCCTCCCCTTGGACCGGGGTGCGCACTGCTAAGTGCTTTACCCAGTGGCAGAAAGTGATACTGTGTCACTTCAGAGACTGTGTCATAAAAATGCATGTACTTCCACTTTGTGATGTGGGGAGACTTGGTTTCAGAGCCTGGCTACCAGACTGTGAAAGCCCAAACTAGCCTATGCTGAGAGACCCCACAGCGCAGTCACATGGACGTGTTACAGTCAATGTTAACACCCCATCTGATACCCAGCATCAACTGCCAGAGTGAAGAAGTCTCCAGATGCTTCCTGCTCCCAGCGGTGCCTTCACGCCCAGCCGAGTTCCCAAACATCCTGGAGCAGAGACAAGCCATCCCACTGTGCTCTGTCCAAATTCCTGATCCACGGAATCTCTGAGCGTAACAAAATGGTCAATTTACACCACTAAGTTTGGGGTGGTTGTTATGCAGTAATAATAACTGGAACAGGAATGGAGATTCAGAAAGGTTATGTGATTTTCCCATGGAAACACCACCAGAAAATGGCAGAGTTGGGATTTAAACTCAGGTCTGCCTGTACTTTCTCTATTGCCCTGTACTGATGACTGACCCTGAGGTTTTGAGAACCCTAAGCCAGCCAGGTCTAAGAAGGGTGCCACTAGGTATCTCCACCTCTGTCTATGCAGAGCCCCACACCACGTCACTGTGGTGCGTGACAGAGATTCCGCCCCCTCTAGAGCTGACCTGAACAATGAGACCATCTCCCCTTGCAAGACTGGGCTGCAATAAAATGTTACTGCTGCTTAAAATGCTAGCAGCCTCACAAACCATGAAGTAAGACTTAATAGCATTTCAAAGTGTAAAGACTTCATTATTTCCACAGAGAATGCTTCGGCACATTTATCAGCATTTTATTAAGAACGAGCATACATATTTCAAACAAAGCTACACTTGTCAAAACAACTGAGAAAAGTGTTGGGTAACGCTTGGCC